GTGCATGAAAATCTTACCCTTCGAAATCACGATAAGGTGGTGGTCGCGGATGAACTTGCGGTGTGTGCTTCTGTGCTGTTTTTGTGAGGTACAATAAAGTTTGTATGGATCTTTTTTTTTTGTGATTTTTGTGTGTGTCCTCCTTGTTCTTTTATAGGCTCCCGTGAAATTTGAATTTCAACATCAACACTGAATGCGCCAGATATTGTGATGACTGTTTTCCGTTTTTAATCCGACATGTTCATGCGTGTTTTAGAAAGAATTTAAACTTTGTCTGAAGAATGTTTGATTTTCCTTGCCATTGTTTCCTTTTCGGTTCGAACATGTCCAAACACGTCTAGTTTTTCTTCCTTTTTCATTTGAAACATGTTTGATTGTGTTTTGAGAAATATTGATGGTTATTATTTAAAAAATTAATTAATTAAAATAAACTTAAATTAAAATATCTAATTAAATCTAAATAAATTAAATAACCATTTAACTAAAATAAATAAATAAGTAAAAATAAAATGATAAAAAATGAATAAAAGTCGGGCAAAAAAGTGCTCAAAAAAATAAAATAAATGCACTAAGATAATCAACGCAAAATAAACGACTCGGAAAAATACAACGTTTGGTCAGATTTTGAAATAAACTTTACTCGCTAAAAAGGCTTAAACTGATAAAAAAAAACATCCAAAAGGTGGTCGAAAAATTTAAATGAGCACGCCAGATTAAACTACGCGAAATGTAGATTAATATCGCTGATGTTTGCAGGCTCGATCTTGAAATTTTCCGTTCACAAATTTTACACACAATTGACTTTTATTTGATCAATTCGACTGTAATTCCAACAAGTTTATTCCAGCTGATAAATTGGGTATTATGTATGATGAAGTGCATGTTATGCTATGCAGATGATGCAAAATGAAAAACTGATCTTAGGATAAAAAATTAGGGTATGACAGATGCAGAGCTTGAATTCAGAAATTTGGAGGGTAGTGTAGATGGTGTCACGTTTGGGAGTCTTGTTAATTTTTTTTTTTTGTAATCTCTTGTTGTAACATATGTACACGGGCCTTGGAACAAAAAGAAATGGGCTTATGAGTTTTTTTTTTGTGGTGATGAATATTGTAATAAAGAAAATGGATATTGAATATTCTTAATAAAAGAAATAGTTAAAATAAATTGATTTTAAAAAATGGACTTTGTGCTAATTATCTTGGATTAAGGATAACAAAATAGATTAAATGATGGATATGGTTAGGATGAAGTGAATTATTGTGAAATGGATAATTAAAATAAAATGTGAATAATTGAAAATGAAAATGGTTTAAACTTGGACTAGGAAAAATGGATAATTGGAAAATTGGATAAGATTTGGAATGAAAAGTGGTTATGGAAAACTGGGTTTAGAAACATGAATAGAAGAGAAAAAAAAGGTTACGGGAATGGATATGGTTTTTGTAACGCGCCTCCACCACACTTAAAACCTTGATTGCCACAAATCCCGAGCCATATGACTAGGACCCTACAACCTGACTTCACCAGATGAATTACATATGACATTGACCCTGATCTGGTCATCCTCAGCTGTGCATCACCAATCTAAACCACACTCAACTTGAAAATGAAAACAAACCTCTTTCTTGGCTCAAATCAACTCAACATCCACATAACTAAGCTAAATTGCACACACATTTAACCTGCTCGCCTCAGACAAAACTTAACTTAACGAGACTTGTCAATCAAAAACTTCAAGGATGAGAAACCCTAATTCTCCATAATCCTAATTCAAAATTTTTCCAGTCAAACCACTGATTAACCTTAAGGAAACTAAACCCTTGTGGTCATTCAGAGAATTGAAGTCATGCTTTGATGAACCTCTGATACGCACTCATTAAACAAATGAAAATTCAACACTTCTGCCTCAAATTTGAGTACAATAAATGACAGAAATAATTTTTGACCAGAGGACATCCACCTCATCAGACAAACTCTTGTCCAAAACCCTAATCCAAACAGTACCTTTGAAGTCTCTTGAAGCAAATCCTGATTTCACAGGTGAAACAAAGCAAAACAAAGCTGACAAATTGGTTAGTTATGCAAAAATGATTGACCTAGAATGATATGTAAAATATCAAAGAATTTGATGGAATAATTCTCTACAACTTTCATGGTTTGAGTTTTGGTTGAGTAAACTTGGATCATGATGAAAACTGGCTAACAAGTTGGTTGCTTTTTCAGGCAGATTAGCAGCAAAATATTTTCTAAGTGTTGGAAACCAAATTTGAATGGAACACCAACTTCATGGCTTCATAACTTGAAATCTAAACACTTTTGGGGAATTTATCCTAACTATCAAAGTTGTAGTATGTAAAGAGCTCTTGAAATTGATCTTTGGAGAAAGAAAAATGGATGCTTGGATTGAGAATTATGGCTTTGGCATGTTGGCTTCAAATTAGGGTTTTTTCCTAACTTAGAAAAAATTCACTTTCTTCAAAGTTGCCCTTTTTACAAGTAACCTCAATTATCTTGATTTTTCTTTATCAAAATCCATCATAAAACATATTTTCAATGAATATTGACTTGAGGAACTCATATTTGACCAAAAACCCTAAAGTCAAAGGTTTGACTTTGCAGTAAATGGCTTGTGCATCAGATGAACTTTCACTTCTTATTCCTCAATTAATTTAGTCTTTTAGGCTATTTAAACACTTTAAATGGACTCCAAGGATTTTTTTGAATGTATTGAATCATGTCTCAAGGCTTGAGACCATGTCTTGATCAAAAGTCAAAGATACAGTTGACACTGATTGAGAAAACCCTAATTCTTGGTCAGATGAAATTTAATCTTTAAGAATTTGTAATGAAGTCATATTGCACTTGATTATTGATGGAGAGAGGTCCCTTAAGTGTATGAGACCTTGTTTGCTGATGAACTATCCAAAACTTTGACTGATCAGTCCCTTGAGCCTCTTAAGGCAAACCCTAATTCATAGGTGAACAAAAAAAACAGGCATATCTTGATAATTGGTTAGCTATACATGATTGATTGACCTAGAATGCTATGCAAATGATGATGAAATCTAGGGGTAAAATTTGAGGTATGACAAATGTATTCACTAAGAAGAATGATCTCAAAAGGATTGTGGTTAAATGCACTGATGGTTGTAATTTCTACATGAGATTTAGTAAAAGGATTGGTCACCAGTGCATTAATTTGCAAAAACATATGCATACCTTATAAATCTCAGATTCATAGAAATGACGACTTGAGTTTGCATTCATCTAAGTTGTCATCAATAGAGAATTCAAACCACACTTTGCATACGTACCTCAAACGATTTGAAGATCTCCTTCCATGGCTAAAAAAGGTTTGTTGCGACATCTTCAATAGATAGATATCACTACAACATTTTTACTCTATAGCAACGCCTAATTTTCAGGATGTAAAAAAATTGTTCTCGTAAAGAGTAATAGGCAACAAATTATATAATTTGTTGCGGTAGCTTTTATAATTTTTTGTAAATTTTATACAACGGTGCAAATCCGTTCTCGTAGAGGACAATGAGAACGGCTCATATTAGCAACGGTTAGGAGCCGTTCTTATATAATTTTTAATTATTTTAATAAAATATTATTTACTTATCTCTAATGGGAAAGAGGTCTCAGACTTTTCATTGTCCCTCTCAAACTTCTGTAAATTTTCAATCTTCCCTCCCAAATTGATTCTAACGCAGAGAGAGAAGAAATTGATTTTGTAACCCTAACATCTTCCCTCCCAAATTGATTCTAACGCATAGAGAGAGAAGAAGTTAATTTTGTAACCCTAACATTCATCGTACGAGCTTCTCCCAACTTGTGTGTGTAAATGTTCTTCTTCATCGTACGAGCTTCTCCCAACTTGTGTGTGTAAATGTTCTTCTTCATCGTACGAGCTTCTCATTCAACTTGTGTGAGTGCAAATGTTCTCCTTCAACTTTCTCTATTCTCTACCGACAAATCTAACTATTTTGTTTTCATAGGTCTCAACTTTCAAACGTAATAGTGTGCGAGTTTTCAGCGGTGTGCTAGTTTTCGGCGGTGTGTGAGTTTTCGGTTCATCCTGGTAAAAAGGTAATAATTTGTAGCCCTGTGTTATTTTGGTGGGTCAATCGAGTTAGAGATATCTTTGTGATTTCTTTGCGTGATATTTTTGGTAAATGTTTGTAAACTTAAGTCTCTGATTTTGATAAAGATGAAGATGAAGTGAGAGAGTTCTTGGATTTTAGCATTGTTAATGGTGGTGAGGTTTTGCTTGTCATGAATCAGAAACAACTGTCTTGAAATTTTTCGGTAAATGTTTGTAAACTTAAGCCTCTGATTTTGAATTTTATGCTTGTGTCATGTATAGTACAAGATTGATAGCGTTTCAATGGAGAATGCTGATTACTAATTCTAATGAATTTTCGATGTATGGTTGCTTCTGGAAGATTGTCATTGTAAGTAGTATGTGTTTGAAAGTCATTTAAACTGCAGAGTCCTGAGAAATTTAAGATTATATTTATCCCTAACATGTAAACCTTGTGATGTGTCTTATACCCTTAACCCTAACATGTGCTACTATGAGTTCTTACCTGTTAACAGAACCAATGATATGTACATGAGAAAGAAAAGCAACAGTTGGTGGATCTTGTTGATATCAAGCTGGATCAAGAATATGAGCTTGTTGTTACCACTTATAGTAAGTTAATTGGACTTAGAAATTAGTTGCCGTTAGTTTGGATTGTTTGAACTGTTATGTTAATAATTTGGAGATTAGAGGTGATTGAAACAATTGTTAGAAATTGGAAAAGAGTTAGAAAAATAGTTAGTGTATTGGTGTGTTAAAGTGTAACAGGACATTTGGAGACATAAAGAGCTAATTCAAGAAGATTGCAAAGATAATGCAGAAGTTTTGTCTGTCATTTGGTTCAAGGATAAAATTATTTCAGGCCATACAGATGGAAGAATCAAGGTAATAAAATTTAGGATTTCATATGTTGTGTAAGTTTGCTTTCCTATATGGCAAACTGTACCTGTCATTAAGTGGATTTAAGGCTGCAATAGTGAAGTTTGCTAGGAGAAAGGGAGAGGATACATTAATGGTGGAAATAGCTTCACAATCAATTGTTCAAATTGGACTTCTAACGACTTTGCCAATGGTCATAGAAATTGGACTAGAGAGAGGGTTCAGAACTGCTCTAGGTGACTTCATAATAATGCAGTTACAGTTGGCACCTGTTTTCTTTACTTTCTCGCTTGGAACGAAAATGCACTATTTTGGGTGCACTCTCCTGCATGGAGGGGCAAAGTACAGAGCAACTGGAATGATGTACTACCAGCGTGCTCTTAAGCTCCAGGCTTTTCTTGATATGGCTAATGAAAAGGGTAAGAAGAATATCTTTTTGTTCCGAACTATTTAGCTAAATCTAGTAGGTACTGTGGCAATAATGTAACTTATGTGCAAGTCATTACACATTCTAATCCTCATGGTGCTAAACAAAAGAGTAGTTATATCTGTCAATAATATATTATTGCATCGTTTTCTGTTATCTTGTGGGCAGAGATACTTGATGGATATAAAGTCGTTACTGTTCCATCTGAGGAAGATAAAAAGAGTCACAGATCACTATATGCCAGTTTAGAGGCTGCTGCTGACATGAAATTCACATACATTGCTACCTGTCAGAACTACGGAAATCAGAAGCGTAGTGGAGACCGTCGTGCAACAGACATTCTGAATTTAATGGTCAAGTATGTTTGCCACTCGATAAATTGCACTCAACTCAAGTACAAAATTTGTTTCGCTTTCACTCACTTGATTTTAGAATATAATTTCTGGTTCTTCATTTGTAGCAATCCTTCGCTTCGGGTGGCATTTATTGATGAGGTTGAAGAAAGAGAAGGAGGAAAAGTACAGAAAGTTTATTATTCTGTATTGGTTAAAGCTGTGGACAATCATGACCAGGTAATTGCATATTGATGTTAGGAAACTAATTAATTCACTCTAGAATATCTTTGAACTTATGGTTTTATTGTTTTTTGTGAAGTAAATATATCGAATAAAACTGTCTGGTCCAACGAAGTTAGGAGAAGGGAAACCTGAAAATCAAAACCATGCAATCATGTTTACTAGAGGAGAAGCTCTTCAGGCTATTGACATGAACCAGGTAAACATAAATCTGTTTTGTTAGAAAATGATAATAAACTTAGAAAATGATAATAAACTTAGAAAACATATCCATTTCTAATAGAAAATGACAACTGAGTTACACTAATGTTAAGAACTAGAAATTGTTGGAGCAATAAAAGTTAAAGTGCTCACCCCTGCATAATATATGATCAACAGTGAGAGACATATTTATCAAGATATGTGAATTTTAAAGGAGAAATATATACTAAATCAACAAACTTACAATTTGGTAGGATTGAAAAATACTTACTAAAATTTGATGTCAATCCTCAAGTCCACACTTGTAAAGATACAAAACTAGAATTAATAGAGTTTAATCATTCATGAATAAAAACAGTCTAGAAAAATTAATTAAGTAATGAAATCTTCAATTATTGACATAAAGATGAAGTACTATATAACCTTTATTCATAGTAATACTAAACTTTTAGTTGTAATTTTTAAAAGATAAAATAATTCTGAAATATAAGAAACATGGAAGCATGTTATATATATATATGTTATCTCTTAAATATTACTGCCTTGAATCTTATTACATGTGCTGGCGTTTAAGACCCAGCTCCCTCTAGTTGTGGTATTTGTATTTTCGATGCAAAAATAAAGAATGCTTAAGAGAAACTGTATGTTGCATCCCATAGATTAAGTTTCAGATATTTATAACAATTTGGTTTTAGGCACTTTCTCCTTGTATTTTAAATGTGTTATTTGCTGTTACATAATTTGAATCTTCCTTATGTATATGTACTTGATAAACCTCTTGCACATTATTCTCGTATTTGGTGGATTGTTATTTGTGAGTAGGTCACTTTCTCCTTGAAGTTCTTATTGGTTTCCATCCTGATGCTGCAACATCTTTTTACCTTTCACATCTACCTGGTCACTTAGGTATTATTTCATCTATACTATATACATGCTCCATCTTCTGTTTTAATGGTGATCAGGAGTAGCCATTGTTTAAATTGGGATTATTACTTGTATAGAAAATTCAGTGATATTGAGCTGAGTTACAATTCCTTTTAAACAACATTATCACTTCTCCACAAGTCTTGAGAAAGAGTTTGGAATCTGGATTCTGCTAGCTTGCTCCATTATGATTCACTCTTTGAACATTTTACTCAATCCTTTAACTTCCCCAGATTTCTTCTTGACAATCTTATCTAGCAATGTTCACAGGCAATTCATGTTTCGAAATGCTGCAATATATTTTTGTATTTCTAAGCAGGTAGCTTTCTTCGACATGAAAAGGGATTGAACAGTCTTGCTATGTTCCTAGTTTCTTTTATTGCCTTGTTTTTAGTTTTTCTGTTCACGAGAATACCTTATTCTTGCCCCTGTTCTAATTTTCTTTGCTCGTATTTTACTTATTTTTTCTATACAAAATTTGGCTATAATCAGGGGTGACTTAAGATACAATTGATGAACTTCCTCTGTTAGTCTTCCTTTGTTTCATTGGTTGCTATTGTATGCAGGAGAGTACTTGGCTCTGTCAGGGGAGAAGCTCAATGGTGTAGAGATGGTTGCCTGTGGGCTTGCTACACATTATTCACTACTTGCAGTTTAGTTTTATTAAACCCTATTTCTTTTTATTTCTCTTGTTTTTGCTATATGACATTCAAAACCTTTGTTTGTTTTGTTCTGTAGAGGCTTCCACTAATTGAAGAACAATTGGGAAAATTGGTTACTGATGATCCAATAGGAAGTTGCTGGCAAGTGAAACAAAAGAAGCATGGTGCATTTCTACCCTAAATAGACTTAAAGAAGCTTCTCCATTGAGCCTGAAGGTTTCCTTAAGATCTAAGGTGATAGTGTGGGACTGTAGGTGCAAGCTTCCCTAAAGGAAACTACTAGGTTTGATGGTTTTTCTCAGATTAACTACATCTGTCAGTTGCATGTAATGTAACAGCACCTTATTATTAATGATAAACATAGGCCATGCTTTAAGAATTAAGTATCCTTGTATGCTTTTGGTAATAAACTCTGCCCTCTGCTTCTCCATGTAATTGTTTTTACTTTCTGTTGCAGGAAAATGACGAACCGGAACGATTTTGTGTGAAAATAATGAAGATAAAGAACCTCCGACTCAAGCTGAAATGTTCATTGCTACTCGACAAAGTAGGGACGGAAAGGAGTTGGATCAAGAAACCAACCATGCAATTTGAAGATTTTGAATTTGAAGATGAAGAGATGTAGATGTAGATGTTTAAGTTTAATTTTATAAATTAAAAATGTTATTTTGACTATGAATGATGATTGACATTGGGATCAATATGTAATTTGAAGATGTTTTGTTGACATTACGATATGTAATTTGAAGATGTTTTGTTGTTGGATCATTTTCAATTTGAAGATGTTTTGTATTTGAATATTATTATATAAAAAAATTGTGAATGATGTTATTATCAGGTTTATAAAATAAAATGAAAATTTATTTTATTAAAAAATAAATAAATTTATTTGGTTTATAAAATAAAATAAATTTTTTTGCAACAGTTACAAAGTGTGTCTGTAGTAAAGAAGGCGTTGCTATAACCTATGAAGAAAAATTGAACTTAAGCCTCTATTAGAACTGTTTAGAATAGGCTACGGCTAAGAACCGTTGCTATATTCCATAAAATAGTCGTTCTCTAATAAACAACAATTGCAACGGTTTACATTTGAAAACGGCTTCCAGCCGTTGCTGTTCTAGGCCGTTCTCTATATAAAATTACAGCAACGGCTCTGAGCAAGGCGTTGCTGTTGGCTAAATAACCGTTCCTAAAGGCTAAAACAACGCCTTGGTTTAGAACGCCCTGAAAACCGTTCTCATATGTAAAGGCAACGGCTTTTTTGGATTTTGCAACGGTTTGTTTGTGTTGCTGTATATTCAAAATGTTGTAGTGTATGATAGTAAGTTTTTCATAATTTGAAGGTTTGAAGAACAAGATGAAACACAATTTGAAAGAGATATAGAAGAGTGAAGAAGACGATCAAAATAAGGATATTGATTTTCTATGTTTTATGCTTTTTTATAACTATTATAAATTGTTTTCTTTAATTAAAAATTGTTTTTAATATTTTCTTAATTAAAATATTCATTTAAATTTTAAAAAATCTAAATTGATGAGATGGACTTAAAGCCAAATTGTCAATCTCCCTACTAGATCTTGCTGATGAAGGACTCGCTTTAGCAGCTAAATCTCAACTCTAATTAAATTCCTCCACCATCTATCAAAATCACTTTCGGTATGTTCTAGTTTTCATCCCTACCTTCATAGTTTTTCTCGTTTCTATTAACTTTCTCTAAATCGCTCGGTACAGTCTTAACTTTTGGAATAATTTTCTATTATCTTCCGTTTGGGATAAATTTATAATTGATCCTTTTGCGTGATGAACAAGAGTGAGATTGCGAATTTAGTCTCACTATTTTCCTCGTAGCTTAAAAATGGTATACAGATTCTATTTTATTAGTAACACAATGAAATAGTTAAAACTTAAACTTCATGTAAAGTAATAAGGGCTGAACCGTTTAAGGAAGAAAAAGGAGTAACCTGTTAAATTTGCATGCAATTTTGTAGCAAGTACTTAAATAAATATTTTATTAAATGTTTCGACTTGAAAAATAGTAATAATCTTTTTTTCAAGCTCTCTCAAACATTCGCTCTTTCATTAATTGAAATATGTGTTGGTCCTATCATTTTATGTGGAATCTATTTATAAAATGAAGAACTCACACATATTACAACTAATAAAAAAAATGAGTGTTTGAGAGAGAGAGAGTTGAAAAGAGAACGTTGATAACACTACTTTATTCAATAACTATGACAAACAAACAGAACCATACGATTCGAGACGAAGAGTACAATAACATGTAGCCTCACTAGTTGTTGTCCTGGAATGTGAATGCTTGGGATGGAGGTGGCCGGACATGCCTTCCTGGGATTCGGGACTTTATTGGATTGTGTTTTGGAACTGCAATGTTTGGAACTGCAATCTTTGGACGTGCACTGCGGAGCTTTCTTTGTATAGGTCGTTGCTGGTTGGGTCTGATGGGAGGATCGTAATTGAGACTAACCGGCTTTTCTGGATCAGTGGTTGGCTGATGCTGGTAACTCATCATATGCTCATTTGACTGTGTTTGATAATTGGAATTCCTTGCAACGGTGAGATTAACAACTGCAAGGAACAGAATTAGCACCCATTTGTAACACATCTTTCAACCTTTCTTATTTGTGTTTGTTACTTGTATTGTATTACACAAACGATTAGTTTCAAGATAGTTGTACGCCTTTTTGTACCAACAGTTTTCTCTAAATTAGCGTGTCTGCATCCCGGAAGTCACTTGGAAAAACATATTAAGTTTCCAAGGCGACGAATTTGACCGAGAATTAAGTCAATGTTCTTTCACACCCTTACAATATTTTATGAAATGTTTAATTTATTTATTGGTATACTTTTAATATAATATATATCTTTAGTTAATTATATTATTTATTTAGCCTTAATAAATTAGATATCAAATTGAGTAATGAAATTAGTTAAATTTGTAATTAAATATTTATTTATTTATTTGATTAATTGATATGATTTCAATATTAGTGGATGTTAAGATGGTCTATGTTAGTGGATTTAAAATAATGGAAAGTATCAATGACGAACAAATGGTGGAAAAATAAATTTTTGTTAGAACTTTGAACCATAATATATATATATATATATATATATATATATATATATATATATATATATATATAGATAGATAGATAGATAGATAGATAGATAGATAGATAGATAGATAGATAGATAGATAGATAGAGAGAGAGATTCACACTACATTATGACGAGAATGCACTCAAGGCATTTATACAAGAGTTGTAAAATGATTGGGACCTAAAACATACAACTATATATAAGAATACAAATACTCGGGTCAATACCCGGTTACAACTGACATGAAAATAATAATGCTTTTAGTGGTAACCGATTAACCCATTATGTTAACTGGTTGCACCCTCGATATTTTCAATTTTCTGTTACTCATAATCGCTTATGGTCATGCTGTAAACGGTTTCACCCTCATGTTAACCGATTACAACATTTGAATTACTCAAAATGCTTTTAACACACCATCTTAATTCAAGTGCTTCAAATCTTTCATGCTCATCATGTTCGTCTTCAACCTCTTGAACACATCATTTGTGACTCCCTTAGTCAACAAATCAGTCACTTGGTCTTCATTGCTGCAATATCCCAATCGTAACCTTCCTTCGCTAACAAACTCCCTCAAGTAGTGAAACATCATCTCAATAAGCTTGCTCGTCCCAAGTACAATTGGGTTCTTGGCAAGATTAATTGCGAAAACGTTGTAAACCATGAGTATAACAGCGCCACCCTCAGTACTGCCCATCTCTTCCAATAGATTCATAAGCCACACGGCTTGGCTTGCACATAACAAAGCTGCAATTTACCCGACCTTATAAAATGAGAGTGCAACTATAAATTCCTTCTTCGAACACCATGAGATTGGTGTTGCACCGAATATAAAGATGTATCCAGTTGTAGACTTTTATCATCTTTATCTCTGCACCAATTGTAATTTGAAAACCGAGCAAATTGCATTTTCTGCCCGTATCCGCTGCAGAAAAGAGAATTTTGCAGCCAGCAGAACCTTTGACATATCTTAGGATCCTCTTGATTTTTGCCAAGTAAGACACCTTCGGTCTCCCCATGAGTCTACTCACAATACTGACACTAAATGTTAAGTCTAGTTGTGTATTGCACAAATAAAGCAAGCCAATTAGCCTCCTATGTTGAGTTGGATCAACATCTTACTCATCCTCATTCTTTTAAAATTATAACCTTTGTTCAGCTAGAGTGATGGCAACATTATAATGCTCTGTTTCAAACTTCTCCAATATCTCAAATGCATATCTTCTTTGGTGTATGAGCAGTCCCCTTTTAGACTTGTGGAACTCAATGCTAAGGAAGTATGCTATAAGGCCAAGATCAGTCATCTCAAACTCTTTCATAAGTTCACTCTTGAACTTAGAAATTCATTTTTTGTTGCTACCCATTATCAACAAGTCGTCTACATATAAACACAGGATAATTAATCTTTCACTTGTATCCATCTTCGCATACACTCCATAATCGGATACACATTTCTTGAAGCCAACCTCCTTTAAAAACCATATATTCTTTTGTTCCAAGACCTTGGAGCTTGCTTCAAACCATATAATGCTTTCTTTAATTTGTAGAACTTCAGCTCATGGTTTCTTATAAAAAAATTAGGGGGTTGTTCTACCTATACCTCTTAATCAAGCACTTCGTTCAAAAACACAGATTTGACGCCCATTTGGTAGATGGGTCAGTTGTCATTATTCACAATACCAACAACAAGCCTAATGGTTTCAATCCTAGCAACCGATGAAAATACCATTTCAAAATTTATGCCTTCTATTTGCAAAAATTCCTTAGCAACCAATCGAGCCTTATGCTTGATTATTTCACCCTTGGGATTTGCCTTCACTTTGAACACCCATTTCACAATAATTAGCTTCTTTCCATCTGGTAAATCAACCAACTCCCAAGTATTGTTCTCTCAATGGATTCCATATCCCACTTCATAGCACAAATCCACTTTGGAACAGTTGAAGCATCTTCCATTTTAACGGGTTCAGATTCAACCATAAGTGAAAAATGCAAAATCACCACCATCTTTGACTTTATTATCTCGGAATAGCTCACAATTTTGGAGTATTTAAGGCAAACCAATTTTCCTTGTTGATCTTCTGACATTCTCTCCGATTCGTGCTTTAGCAACAAAAGTTCCTTCTCTTTCTGATTCTGTAGGATCTGAATTTTTAAAGTTATAACCTGTTACAGCTTTTACGTACCAAGTTATAGGATGCTGCAGCTTTTTAAGTTCGTCAAGAATGATGTCTCGAATAGTCACAACGCTCATCTTTGGTGCATCAAACAACTTATGACCACCGGTAGAGTGATGCCCTATAAGTATCATCATTTATCCCTTGTCATCCATCTTCTTTCTAAGCTTCCCCGGAACATGTCAATACTCTACAGAACCAAAAAATCTCAAATGATTCAGATTCAATTTGAATCTCGACCATTATTCCTATGGAGTTACCTTCTCAAGTTTCTTTGTTAAACACCTATTCAACAAATAGGCAGTTATGGATATCGATTCTCCATAATTTTTTCGGAAAGCTCTTCCCTTTTAACATGATTCTCACTATATTCATGATCGATCAATTCTTTCTTTCAGCAACATTATTTTGTTGCGGTGTGTAAGGTGGTACTACCTCATGTACAATCCCTTATTAATCACAAAACCTCTCAAAGTCTTTTGATACATATTTGTCTGCATCATCTGTTTTGTGTAGTTTGAGTCTGTGACCGCTTTGCCTCTCTGTCGCTACTGCGAAAATCGGTGCCGGCTGAACATAAGAGTCGCCACCGTGCGTTATTTATCCCAAAGGAGGGAAAGGAAATGCTCGAAGTAAACCTACCGCAAAGACGGGAAAGGAATGGTCATCGCAACCAAATCCTGGATTCGGGAGTCGGTTACGCAAGGGGAAGGTATTAGCACCCCTCACGTCCGTCGTACTCGACGGGATCCACGCTTGTTTTCTGGTACGGATTGTTATTCTATCTATTCTACAGGTCTGGGGTTAAAAGAAAATAAACTGACTCGGCAAAGTATCGCACTTTATGCCTACGTATTCCCTTCTGGAACGAGAAATCAGAGTCAACGTAGTTCGCCTACCTACTGGAAAGGAGGGGAAGGTTGCTCGCTAGGATGTCGCATCCTATGCCTACGTACTTTCATACAGCATGAAAGATCAGAGCAAACGTAGTTCGGGCTACGAAAGACACAAGCTTTTCTGAATTTTTTTTATCTCCTTATGAAAGGGTTTTTCCTGATTAAGAGTCCAAGCGGACAAAAATGACGTTTTTGATTGGTTTACAGTCTTTTACGCAAGAACTGCTTTTTTTTATATTTATCCTTTTATTGTATTTTTCTGGTTGTTTTGAGAAAGAAGAGAAACAGCAACTCTAAAATCTATGGTTGAAAAGGGAATCAAAAGCTATCCTAATGTTGGCATGCATGGATGAGAACCTAATGTCTGTCATATTTCTCTCTTGCGCAGAGAGAAACAGAGATCCTAAGGGGATAAACGGAAAAGCAACAGCATATATACAGTAAAGCGGTAAAATGCATGAATGCAGCAATACAAGCGAGGCAAGGGAGTCCCACTCAACCTCGAACCTAGAAAACAATGGGCAAAGTGAAACAACTTCACTTCAACCTCCAGGGGAAAATTATCAAACAATACAGTCAAGAAACACAAACAATACATCAACAGCTCTAAACAGCACCAACAGCTCTAAAAAGCAAAAACCTGACAACATAAGCTCCTGCTTCCATCAGTCTTCAAGGCAATGAACTCTATCCTCAATCTTCAAGGGGTTCTTCAAATCAAACTCTCCTAGATGATAAACAGTTCACAAAATGGGTTTGGATGTTAAACAGTCTACTGAGCACCAAAGGTGGCCTACAGAAAGTTAACATAATACAGACTGTTTCTCTCAAAGTTCTATCTCCTAGATACAGTCACTAATCCTTCCAAAGGAGGGAGGTGAGTATCAAGGAGATACTTTTAGTCATTGAGAAGAATGGAGGCAAAAGAAGTCATCCATATTTGTGAAGAAATTTTCTATTCTAAGGCTCTCTCTAGCTTCTATGTCCTAGGTCTTCAAACAGCTTCAAGCAAGCCAAGCATCTTCATCAAGCTTTGATCTTCAGCTTCAACTTTGTCTTCAATATGCTTCATCATCATGCTCTTCACACCAAGCCCACACCCCAAGCAAATGCCCAAAAGGCCCACACAAACAAAATAAACCCCAAAAGGGCACACCAAACAAGCATACAATTGCAAAATACACTAAAAATACTAATATAGTAGGGAAAATTCTAATATTATTTCTAGGGGATCTACTATACCTAGCCTTAATACCCTATATGCCCCAAGTCCTAATTCAATCTAAAAAACCCAAAAGAAATTGTTTTAATGCACCTATGTTGTGTATAAACCCTAATCCAACTAGTCTAATAGTATTCAATCAAACTACCTGAAATAAAGTCCTAAAAATTGTGGTATAAAAACCAGGGGTACCTAACATGTATATCTA